TATTATTATGGTTATTATTATTATGGTTGTTGTTGTTGTTGTTGTTATTATTATTATTATTATTATTATGGTTGTTGTTATTATTGTTGTTATTATTATTATTATTGTTGTTGCTGTTATTGTTGTTGTTGTTGTTATTATTATTATTATTATTATTATTATTACAATTTATTTGTAATGCACTTTTTGTAAAACCTAAGCCACAATAATTTAAAAACTCAATTAAATAAAAGAATTCAAACACAGAGATAAAATGTATCATAAACACATTAGAACAAACAGGAATTCAAGTATGCACTCTTAAAAAGATTTGTTTTCAACATCATCTGTTCACATCAGTTCACATTATTAAACTTAATTATTGTAAGCTTAATTAACTAACACTGTATTGGGTATTGGGTAGGATCAGGGATGCATAATAAGATCATGCTACTAATTAGCTAATATCTTAATAACAGGCAGGTAATACACTAGTAGTTAATCACATAAACTGTGACCGGAACTAAAGTGTTATCCATCATCTTAAAACTAGCTAATGTGGAAGCATCTCTAACAGAAGCACCCTTAAAAGGATCATGAAATTCCTTTATATTTTTAAACTAATATCCTCTTATGTTATTAAGATTTTGCATAAAATCATAATGTAGAAGTTTTTGTCTATTCTTTGTGCTGTTTTTGACCATCAGCAGAACGCTCCGTCTGACTGGGCGTGGCCGATTGTAGACTCAGAAGTAAATCCCACTGCACTGATTGGTTTACATTTTGGCATTTAACAAGGCAGTGCAGTAGTAGGTGTCTTCTCTTTCAAGAAGGCGGGGCTTATACACTTTATTACATCATAGAGTAGAATATTACAATTTCGATTTTTAATATAAGCTGATTTTTAGAGGAACTGTTGAGTTCTGAAATGTATCTGAAGTTTTTTTTGTAGTACTATGAGCTCATGTCAAATGATCCAGGGAATTTTGGTTTCTCAGTTCATGAGTCTAATGCTTAAGCAAGAAATTGGATTTGAAATGGCTTTATTTTGTTTGGTTTGTTTTTAACAAACATTATTAAAAATTTTTAAACCTGGTGTACACACAAAACGGGCAGTGAAAATGCTGACTAGCATAAAAAAGTAATGATTATGGCTCATATGATGATTTAAAGTGGTTCAGGTAAGTCGATATTTAGGTTAAATGTGTTTATTTTGAGCTGTGCACGTTCTCCCATCAAGTTCTATAAACCACAACTTTTGCATGAAAAGTGTTGTATGCACATTTCCACTCATTTTATTTATAAATGAGACCCTAAATCTTCAGTTGGAACACAGAATCGTCTTAATCCTGCAGAAATCTTAGTCTTTGTTTGTGTTAATCAAAAGGTCTGCTTGTTTTTGCTAGATGTGAAGAGCGCTAAAGCAGAAGAGGTGTCGCCGCAGCACGGGAAGAAAGATCGAGAAAACTCTGAAATGAACGACTATGAGGATGAAGGAGATCTGCTGGAGGAAGAGGAGGTGAGAAAACCACAAACACCAGCAGGAGAGTCATATCTGGGATCCTCTCTCCTTTATGCTGCGTTCACAGCAGACGCGGATAAATCACGTTATTCGCGCATAAATTGCCGCGTGAAAATTTAAGTTTACTCGCTTCATTCGCGCGTCAAACCCCGCTTCATTCACGTGTCAAATCCGCTTCATTCGCGCATCAAATTCACTTCAGAACAGACGCGGATTCGCGTAATGGGCAGGGCTTCTGTCTGCCCGGTGACTGTAGCTTCGTAGCTAAATTTGCGCAGACCATTTGTGTGTATCGTGCCGCAGGATGTCTATTCGCGCGTTTGCATTGACTTAACATGTAAATCACTCGCGCTTGACGCACATTCTGCATCTAGTGTGAGCGCAGCTAAAGTCACATTGTTGCTATTCCCTGTTTTCAACATATAATCGTTCTACACGATCTTAAGAATAATGTGTGAAGATATAACCATACTGAGTCAGACCAGCACGTGATGGATTTTTCAGTCTTGCTTCTGCAAAAATCTCTATTCTTTTATCCCACTGGAGCCAGCAGTATAAAGGCCCGATTCACACGGGGCTTCAGCATCAGTGCTTGACAGGGGGCGGGTTTGAAGTTGGGGCTGACGCAATTGTCATTGCAGCGTCAGCCAATGAAATTATTCCGCAATTTGCCACTGTCTAAGCTGGTGTATTTTCATACAGCGATCTGATTGGTTGACGCTTCCGTCAGCGCTTGAAAAGCTGAGAAAGTACCAACTTCTTTCCCTTGCTTCCCTTTTAAATATAAAAAAGAAAACTAATGTTTCATTTTATGAGTTTAATTGGGCTGAATGTAATGTTGAACATGGACACGAACAAGGAGGTTTCCAAAACATTGAAACGCAGACAGAACTGTTACAAACATGCGGATGAAGCGTCAAGTGCGACATCCTGCGGTGTGTTTCGTGTGAATGAAGCTGCGCGAATGAATGTTTTGCACATTCGATGTGCTTAACGTGTGAATCGGGTTGGAAAATCTGAACTTAGCATTGGCATTAACCAATCAGTAGCTTGCTCTTGTAGGGGCGTGATTATGATGTAGCGCCTGTTGGTGTCCTGTGGGGAAATCCACCTGCAGACACCTGACAACAGTTCATCAAACTGGGCTCGGCTCAGTCGGAAGCACAGCTGAAAGCCTCCATCATCCAGGGATGGTTTCTGGAGGAGTTGATGAACTAACAAAGCTGGTGCACCTCTGAACAGAATATCAGCTGCTTCAGTCCAACATCAACATTAGCAGGAGGATGAAGATGAAACCAGGGTGGACATTTCAGCAAGACAATGATCCAAAACACAGCCGAGGAGACTCTCAGATGCTTTCAGAGAAAGACAATCAAGCTGTAGAATGGCCCAGCCAATTACCTGACCCCAATCCAATAAAGAATGCAAAATTAAGCTCAGATTTGATAGACTAGACCAGGGGTCAGAAACCCTTTTTTTTGTCAGGAGCCATTTCTGATTTTTTTTTTAGCAATGTTTTTTTTTTTTTTTAAAGAGCTGTTACGTCCTTTTTGATGTTAATATTAAACTAGGAGTAGATGACATAACATACAATAGTTTAATGTGTGTGACAAGCGGATGGAGAAAGAAATGAACTAAAAACCAAATAATCACTGCAATTATTTATTGCCCATACATCCAATGAAAACCAGTGAAAATATATTATACAGTGAAAGAAAAAATATTTACAATGATTAAATGATGAATTACCTGCGGGAGAGGAAGTAGTTGAATGTGCTTAAATCAAAGAAATAAATATAACAAAACTCAGTAACTGTTTTCACCAAACTAAACTAAATATGAAAAGAAACATCTTCAACGTACCAAACGTCTTAACTAAACTGCTCTAACTAAAAACAAAACATACAGAAAACAGCACATCCTCCTGGGGTCCGTTCTTCATAACTCGCTTAAATGATCTGAGATTATTTGGCAGATCCTGGATCTTTTAATCTTGATAACTGATCTCTCGCTAATTTGGTTCTTCAAACAAGTTCTTGAATCAGATTAGAATGTCTGGATAAACTGATCTGAGATTGCTGCGTGTGTTGTGAAGGACAGATCTATCCATCCTCGAAATCATGATCAGCAATGCAACGATTGGCTAACAGCACAGCAGCGTAATGACATCATCTGATTAATATTCAATTATCCATGTGAGCAAAATTACATCAAATTAGCAGTAAACCGGTTTGTTAAATATGACACGCAATAACTTTCCACATTTGTTGTGAGCTGCAGGCTTTACACTTTCATGTGTCAAGAGTATTCATCATGTATTTCAATGCAAATCAATGTATTTAGTTCTACATTTAGAAAAGATTTTCTTTATTATAGTAGCCGTTTTTTAATCGGTGTAAAGAATAACTGGATGTTTACAAAAGCGTTATCATATCGGTAAAGGCGTCTGCAACTTTTGTGAAGCATCAAATCACCGGCATATTAACTATCAAAACATGTTTATGACTGCATAAATGTATTATTGCTTTAAAAAAAAGTCACATATTGTGCATTTCTATTATACACAATTTGTACTAAAGCGATCTAAAAAGTTCATATCAATAAGTTTTCTTTTTGCACCACCAGGTGGCAGTCTTTGTACTTTCATTTCGAGGGTGCAGATTGCATAAGTTTTATTAATATGTATAACTTAATTTATTTTATTAATGACTATAGCTTTATTTATATATATATATATATATATATATATATATATATATATATATATATATATATATATATATATATATATATATATATATATATATCAGAATTCAGTACATACTTTCTGTATTATCTTTGCTTGAACTGAGCCGATCTAATCCTGTTTACATGAATTGAACCTGCTCCCGATCAAGTTTGGCCTAGCAGAACTGTTGCTATGACAACAACTCTCGGATCAGCTTTGAAGAACGAAACGATCCTGGATCGTGTCAAATCGTCAATATCCAAATCCAGCTAACTGAGTAATCCACGTACGAAGAACGGACCCCTGAACCTAGTGAACTAATACAAAATATCAATCTGAGTGTTGTTTGTGTATATCCCGCGACTTACTTACTCCTACACCTCTCCGAGGCATCACTCAAACATGTCAGTTACTGGACAGGTTTACAAGCAAATATATTGCATTATTAAATCGCAAACTTTAGACAAGAGCATTAAACAAGCAAAACACATTCTCTCAGACTAGCCCTCGCAAGAGAGACTGCGGCCAACGTCATCAGCACGAAATGCGGATCCTCCAATGCCGTTCGTACCTGTAAAACATGCATGAAATGACACACCCACATACAAACGAACGCACACACTTATCCAAAATACGTTCTGCAAGCGATCGTTACAAGAGCCATTGATATTACAATAATACAGGTTTAAACAAAACCAATGTCCCTGCACAACTCAAAAATAAACAAATAAGTCCATGAATGAAAAAAGGACAATTTATAGAATTTTTCTTTTCACCATCATCTCACTCACTCATGAAGTTTGTTTGAATTTATGCGCACGATGTTACCATAGAAACACAAGTTGCTTGCCCTTACCCTTAAGGTCGAAACGTCCTTTTATTATTAACAGAGCTCTTATTCATTTTGCTGTAAAAATGACACTAAAAATCAATTATTTTTACATTATACACAATTGAATGTCGTAGCACTAAGGACAACTGTCATATAATCAAATATGCTGACGACACAGTTTTTTTATCTTTGTTAACAAATTACAGATTGTTATGACAGCGATAATCATAATGAGTTTTTGAAGTGGTGCAAAGAAGCTGAACTACAACTGAACACCACAAAAACGAAAGAGATGGTAACTTATTTTAGAAAAAACGCCTTAGAAGTAAAACCAGAGTATTTTAACGGAAAACAAATTAAAGGGTACAGGAATATAAGTATCTTGGTACAATATTTAATACCACATTAAAGTTCCAGCAGAAGCTAAGAAAGTGCATCAGAGAATGTATGTTCTTACTGAACTCTTTCTGTGTAGAAAAAACTTAGAACTTTTTACACCACTTATATCCAGAGTTTATTAAGCTTTTCCTTTTTATGCTGGTTCTCCTCACTTTTCGTTGGAGAGAAAAATCGCCTTCAAATCTTAGTCAAGACTTGCTCCAAGATTATTGGTCTACCTCTGAGAAGTCTAGCAGAGATACATGAACACCGAATATTAAGAAAAACTCAAAGTGTGATAAGAGATGCCTCCCATCTTCTGGGGCATTTTTTTTGTTCTGTTGCCCTCTGGAAGAAGGTTAAGAATCATCAAATGCTCTTCCAGCAGATAAACATTTACCTTTGTTCCTGAGGCAATAAGGCTTTACAACACTGCATTTTAGCAAGTTTTAAATGTACATTCTTAGTACATGGATCTTTCCTATGGTTGTTTTTTTGTACTATTAATGAAGCTAATATAAGGCATGCTGGACTGTGTTTTTCTTAATATTGTTTGTAAGTGATCTGTCTCTTTATGTGTTTGTTGTATCATGAAATGCTACCACCCTAATCCAATTACCCCTGGTTGGATGAATAAAGTTGTTAAACTTAATTGTATTTTCAATTGGAAACTTTTGGATTTCTAGTGACTATTATAATTTTTTTTAACCGCAAAATATTAACAAAGAGAGACCGCTGGAGAGCCATTTATTTTAGACCATAGAGCCACACGTGGCTCACGAGCCATAGGTTCCCTATCACTGGACTAGACCCACAGAACCATCAAGATTTTGACACACTGTTGAAGTCTGTGAGAAACTCAGACCTGAGCAATGCATGCGACTCCATTCTCCATATGAGAGGCGTCTTTAATATGAAGTATTAAACACATTTCAGTAGTTCAGCTCTTTCTCCTTCTGTCATTTAATTGTTATAACACAGAACTCATTTTTCAGATTTGTTTTGTGTTATTATTATTATTATTATTTGTATTTTGGGGTTTTTTTACAGCCTGATCTCACAAGAAAACGTAAGTATTTTACGTTTTGGCAGTTTAGTGGCTATTCGTACGAGTTCAGTCGTACGAAATGGTACGATTTTAAAAAGGAGGCGTGGCACCTAACTCCACCCCTTAACCCAACCGTCATTGGGGGATGAGCAAATCGTACTAAAATGTACGAATTGGATCGTACGAATTCATGCGAATTAGCCACTAAATGAAAAAGTTACGAATTGTCGTGAGATTGCGTTGGGTTTTTACCAAAACCTGCTTTAATTTCATGTCAACAGCTGCTTTAGAAATATTATTCCCAGGACAAAACATGGCAATGTGTTCAATACTTATTGCCCCCGCAGTATCATATGCTGCAATAAACAGACATTGCATATTTTCTAAGGTATGTCGACTAGGGATGTGTGCATATCTTCAAAATGTTAGAAGTGAATGGTATCGGTCTTAGTTTAAGGTTTTTAGGTGGGCTTTTCTCAGAAATAGATCATGCAACTTTAGCTGGAGTTTTTCTGAAGGAATCGCGTATGTAAACTGTTGTCTGCTTTATGTGTGCAGATCAAGAGTCGAGGAAGAGAGGATGATGAGGAGGAAGAGGACGGCGAGCAGGAGGAAGGAGAGGATGATGGAGACAGTGCCAACGGAGATCATGCTTAAAACACACAAACACACACACACACATGCATGCACACTGCGAGATTTAGAGTAGATCCTCAATGCACAAGCTTTCATTTCACACGTCCATAACCAAGACTCATCATGAAAACACAACCTGCTTTACACTCATGTTTTTCAGTGATTACAGCTCTCCCTGTTGAGAGATCGGGAAATTCTCCAACATTCTCAAAGAGTCAAGCTAATACTTGAGTTGTTCATCTAGGAGCCGGTTGTGTTGCATTTTGTCATGTCATGTTGTTTTAAGACCGACTTTGAAAAGCTTGAATGTGTCTGTAAGATTCTGAAGGAGATACAGCTCAGCTTGAAGTCTGATGCTTGGATAGTTGGTCGGCGAAACGAAAAATACGTTTAGTGAAGGAAACGGAGCCTTGAAGACAATATTAATCAACATCTGAGTTGATATCTAGAGCTCTGCTGTGTGGAGTCAGTCGTTCAGTGATTGACAGATTGATGAGCCAATCAGAATGCATTTCATTTTGAATTCTTAAAGAGACACTAACATGCATTCTGTGCATTTTTGCAATCTTGTTAATTGGTTGGCGCTGTCTTCCACCAAAAAACCCTATAAATTGGATTGTCAGGCCATGAAAAGTTCTCCACTTCCAGAACATTGCTTTTCTCTTTGTTTTTTTATGAATATTATCTTCAACAGCTGCTTAAGTTATCATAATGATTGTTGAGATGCTCTTTTTGGGGTCATTCACTCTTTAAACCATTTCCCCCCAATGCTTTTGTGGCTGTGAAACACTTCTGTGTGGGATTTATTGATCCCGAAATGCACTGTTCATCCTATTTCTCTTCATTTTCCTCCCCAACACAATTGGATTTAGGCTCATCACCGTCTCCTATGGCTTTACAATGGACCCTTGAAGCTGTAAATGGACTTCAACCCCTGATCTAGTTGAGTTGAGTTGTGTGTTTGTGGTTCAAGCGCTGCAGTTGTTGCTCTAGGAGTTGTTTTTAGGAATAAATGCGTTACTCGTTCTGACCTGCGGGCGGCACTGTGGCCCATTTCTCTTATTAAAGAGACAGTTCACCCATTAAAACAAAATCATGTAATCATTTCCTCCACGCTTGAGTTTGTTTCTGTTGAAAACAAATGAAGATATTCTGAAGAATGCTGGAAAATGAACCGTCATTGAGTCTAATAGTATTTTTGGCAGTCAATGGTTGATTTATTCCAATGTATTCCAACTTGAACAGCTTCAGAAGCACTTGAGTGTTCGTTTAATGAGGACATGTTCATTTATTTGGGTGAACTATCCCTTTATAGGCTCTCAGAAATGTGTGTATGATTGTGCTGAACTGTTTTATATTGCATAGAGGGGTCGTGCGTTCAGGTTGTACAGTCAATGTCATTTTACTTGTCGGTTTGGTGTATCGTGACACTAAGAGCTTAGTTTTGCTTCTTTCCTCCATTTAGTTCTGTTTGTTTTGTTTTGTTTGTTTGGTCCGTGTAATACGTTTCAATAAAACTACAAATGTTTGTGACGTGTTGGCTGTTATTGAAAGGATCTTCTTAAAGGGGCAGTATGTAAGTTTCACACTCAGTGGTTGTACTATAGGGGCTCTTATTTAATGATCTAGGTGCAAAGTCTAAAGCTCATGGTGCAAACACGTTAATGCAAATCTACTTTTGCTATTTTAAGGACGGACAAATATGCTCTGCGCCACAGCGCTTGGTCTAACAGGGTTGAGCTTATTCTCTTAATGAGTTATGAGTGTGCTTTGAGCATAACATGCATTAAACCGTTCAGAGTCTCGTTTCTGATCCCAGTCAGTTGCGTCGTGCCATGGTGCGTTTGCTATTTACATGGTGGACTTTAAGTAGAAAAACTGAACCCTTCACTAGCGAGAAATCAGTTTAACAGCATTTGCAACAAGAGGATAAAGAACGAGTCTCCTCCTCTTGGCTTTTACTTTCTCTCTTACGTGGATAAGGAAACAGTGTTGTACGCAGTCTGCTTAAGACATCTATTAACCTATGCATAATTAATTTTGTTTGTTAAGCGCAAAGATTCGTTTCAAAACTATTTCTAAATTCAGTTCTAATTTCCAGCAAATGAATAAATGAACAATAATAAAGAAGTGTGCTCAAAAACCTGAGTTATATCCTAATACACATGCTGCCACATATGGTCTAAAACCGGTGGACAAATCTAAGCTTGTTTTTAATAAAACAAATATAAATATGCATATAATAAATAATACTGATAATAATTACATTATACACAAGCAAATTGTTATGAATAAACTGAAAAAGCCTCCCGAGATGAAGTCATGCATGCCTTGGTTTTTAGATTTATGTAAAAAGTAACAATTTTTGTAATATTTTAATCCTTAAATCTTCTTCATTTATAAAGATATTTGCGTATTGCTGTGCATCCGAGAGGGGTCTGGATGCAGACCTGGTGCAGTGCAATCTGGGCTGCATCCAATGCTTTTTAATGGGCTCACTCTCTCCATTTGATTGCATTGTGTCTGACACTGCATTGCTGAGTAATGCAATCTCAGCTTGCATCATAAAGCCTGCATCCAGATACTATTGGTGCATCCTGCGTGTGTTAGCAAGGCGCAGAGCTAATGCGCTCTGTGCTGGACTCTCAGTGTATGATTGTCTCAGATGCAGAAAAGCTAGTCCAGAGCTCAGGGCTCTTTCCCAGGACAGCATGCCAAGCAAGCTTATATTAAATCATCAGCTAATGCCTAGTTCAGACTGCATGATTTTAGCCCCGATTTTGGCTCTCCGACAGGTTTTGAGAAATCGCCGAGAAATGCCTGAAATCACAGACAAATCGCTGCTCGTGCACGTGAGTGACAATCACACAGTATGAACTATCACAGACGCGATCTGAGAGAATCGCCAATGAGTCGCCGATGCCTGTGAGATATTTGGCGTGCTGAATATCTGGAGCTGTCGGCGATTCAAATCATGCCGTGTGAATTGAGTTTTGACTGAAAATAACATCAGCGATCGCCTACAGCCAATGAGAGAGCAGCTTTCACTTGTGTGTGTGCGAGTGTATATACCTGCTGCAGGCCAGCGGGAGGCTGGGGGAGAAGTTAAAAGCGCTCATTTTCGGTTTATTTGGACCCACGAAATGGAGGAAAAACTAGTGGAGGTTTGACAGGACTCAGGAGCAACCGTGTCTGTTTGATGTTTCATACAGAAATAAATTAGTTTATTATCAACGTTGAGGAGAAATGGCTAATTCCCTTTAAACCGAGGTGAGAAAATATGTACATGTTCAACCCCATTAAAAGCTTCTTTCTCATTATGTAGTTAATAACAAAAGATATTCTACAGGTTTTTGGCTGTGAGACGTAGTTTGGACGAAGTTGTCAGCGATTCTTCCTATAGTAAAGTCATGCAATGTGAATGTCCCTGTCGCCGATCCATCTTGCAGTGTAAACAAAGCAGCGACGAAACGCTAGCCCAGACCGTCATGCAGTGTGAAAACATCTGTGACACGACTAGTTTGAAAATCATGCAGTCTGAACTCGGCATAAGTGTGAACTCTTAAAAGGGAGTTTAAATTATTTGTGTTGCAGCTTTATTCAATTTGTATTTCCTTTACGATTAATTGCTCTACCTTGTGGAAAGAAATGTGATATTGTTTGAACTGTAAGTACCAGATAAAATAGTTTGAAGTTTTTTTGTGTTCTACTTAGAGACTATTAATTTTGTGAGTAACTGATATCAATGACTGTGACCCTTTTTTTTTTTCCTCTAAAGTAAATCTATATTTTTTTTATTATTATTTCTATACTCCATTTGGTAGATTTGGATCTACCTGTCAACCGAACAAAAATATACAAATTTATGGATTAAAATCCTTTTTTGTAAATTCAGTGGTTTCTTTAAAATTGGAGTACGCCAGCGCCACAAACTTACAAAAATGTACGATTTTAAAAAGGAGACAAGGCACTTAACCCCTTCCCTAAACCCGACCCTCATTGGGGGATTATGAGCAAATCGTACTAAATTGTATGTATGAGATTGTATGAATTCATACGAATTGGCCACTAAATTAAAAAGCTACGAATTGCCATAAGATAGTGTTGAATCATCAGTTGAAGCATTTTATTTATTTATTTATTTTTTCAATTCAGGCTTATTTCTGTTATATAGATGCCGCTCATCAAATGTTTTATTTCCTAATTTCTTAGATCTTCGAAATATTTGATAATTTGTCCTCTTATGGAAAAAAAATAACTTAATAGGGTTTTTCACACGACTGTAAAACGCAGCTGAGTATCTGAGTGAAAGCCGCCTCTGAATGTCTGATTCATTTTAGCCAAAACAATTTGCTTCATTTCCATGAGCTAATTAAAGGAAGGCCTGATTAGCTGGAGTCGGTCATTGCTGTTGTCAGCGCTCGCTGCTCTTTATGCAGTCTGCTTCAGGATGGCGATTGTGCCACAACCTTTCACTGCAGGCTTATTTTAAGAGCTATTTGCTGTATATCTGGTGATATTTGATGTCATCCAAAAGTAAAAACCTCATATTTTTAATGTAATTTAATTCACCTTTATTTGTTTGGCACTTTTACAATGTAGATTGTGTAAAAGCAGCTTCACATAGAACAGGGGCTCATAACCTTTTTTTGTTTTTTTTTGTTTTTTTGCATGAGACCCCCTTTTTCCCCAGAAAATATTGTAAGGACCCCCTCCACATTTAATGATATTATCGCTCATTTAAGTTTGCAGTAATGATGACAAAAAATGTTGTTTTCAAACAAGCGGTCTGTTTATTACTATATCTAGATATGTTTAAGCACAAATAATAGCCTTATGTTTCCCAGAGATGGTTGCAGCTGGAAAGGCATCTCTACACAAGTTTAAATAGGATTTTAGAAGGCTGGCTTGTGAAAGCCTGACGGTAATAGTTTATTTAGTTTAAACAGTTTTAAAAAGGATAGATAGATAGATAGATAGATAGATAGATAGATAGATAGATAGATTAGCCTGTTACTAGCATGAATTAGCATGATTCTAGCATGAATTAGCATGTTATTAGCATGATTCTAAAATAAATTAGCATGTTACTAGCATGATTCTAGCATGAATTAGCATGTTGTTAGCATGATTCTAGTACAAATTAGTATGTTACCTCATGCCAATTCGCAACTTAGTTTTTAGAGGCTTATTCGTATGAATTCGTACGATCTAATTCGTACAATTTAGAACAACTTGCTCATCCCCCAATGACAGTTGGGTTTAGGGGTGGGGTTAGGAGCCACGCCTCCTTTTAAAAATCTTACAATTTCGTATGAATTCGTGCAAGTACAGTGTTTGTTTGAGAAAATTAGTCTTACCGAAATGTGAATATTCCATACAAGATGAAGCTGATTGGTCAATTCTTGTCTTGTGACTCGCTGTGCGCTGGCGGCCCGGGGTTCATTGGTGTGAGCGCGTCATGCCGTGCACTTCCTTTTGAAACAACAAACTTGTGCAGACTCTAGAAATACACGTTATGTGAACGGCCCCTAAAGGCCGCCGCCATTTGCGATCTCCATCAGTTGATCTTCTTGCACAGCCATGATTCGTTGACAAATGGGTTGCAGATCTATTCCTTGGCAATTCGTGGATCCTTCACTGGACATTTTCCCCATAGCTAAGAAACTTTCCAAAAATGTCGCTCAAGTTACAGAGAGAACACGCTCATTTTTCAAAATAAAAAAACTTTTCAAAATAAAAGGTCATTCAGACTCTAATAATAAATAAAACGGAAAGAACGAATTCTTGTGCGGCCCGCTACTAATTGATCCACGGACCGGGAGACCACTGAGCTAGGGGATAAAATGAACTAAGGCAACATGATCATTCTCCTAATTGTCCACTTCTAAGACTTTTTTTTTTAATATGACGCAACCCTCCACAAAGCTCGCTAAGGCCCACTTGTGTGCTGCGACCCCATGTTGGGAACCTCTGACATAGAAGATCATTGTAAATTGAAACCGTGTCAGTCCAGTTTTCAGAGTTGAAGTTCAGTTCAGTTCAGTTCAGTGTGGTTTCTGCTGGGAGTCCAAACACTGAAGAGCACATCCATTGATGCTCAGCTCTACACGTCTCGAACCATGTAAGCCAGTGGAGACAACGGCGAGGGACAAACTTCACCAATTGACAAAAGTGAAGGATGAAAAACCTTGAGAAAAACCAGGCTCAGTTGGGCACGACCATTTCTCCTCTGGCCAAGCATCTTATGGATCAGGATTTGGTGCATAGTCTTGCTGTGCAGGAGTTTACTTCCTGGTGTAATAGATTTTCCCTCCAGTTGAATGCTAGTAAAACAAAAGACATGGTGATAGATTACATATAAATAAATATATATATATATATATATATATATATATATATATATATATATATATATATATATATATATATATATATATATATATATATATATATATATATATATATATATATACACATATATATATACATATATATATATATATATACATATATACAGCTAGCCAATCAAA